CTGGTCGTAGGACTGCACGATGGCGCGGCGTCCGTTGAACGCCGGGCACTTCGTGAGGCCGCTGATCTCCACCTCCGCCAAGAGAACAGCAACGACGAGGACGAGGAGGAGCAGGCAGGAGCATTTTTCACGGCAACATTCTAGCCCGGTTCAACGGCGTCACCGTGGTTCCTGCCAAATGGCCAAAGGGGGCGCGTGGATGTCTCTGTCCAGCTCCTACCGGATGGGCCATTGCCGCATCGTGGGCAAGAGACCTCTTGCCTCTCGGAGTTCCAGCGGTCGACCGAGATGGAGTGACTAGTTAATCTAGTTGCATCAGATGCCACCGTGGTTCCTCCCCCTCCTCACCCTCCTCCTTATCCTGTTCCTCTGCCACCTTCTCCTCTGCCTCCTTCCCTCCTCCTCCAGCTGAATTTGGCCGATACCGGGTGGACGCTGGCGCGGTCGCAGGAGCGAGGAGGAGTGCTGCGCGCGGTGAATCCCTTCAGCAATATGGGTGTGGTGTTGGTTTGAGGGGCTCTTCGACGAGGGACACGACGAGAACGGTGCCTGTGCACATGTACCGTACGACGTTTAGAGTTCCTGCAGAACCCGCTCCAACCTCCTCCTCCTCCTCCTCCTCCTCCTCCTCCTCCTCCTCCTCCTCCTCCTCCTCCTCCAACCCTCCTCCTCCTCCTCCTCCACTCCTCTCCTCCTCCTCCTCCTCCTCCAACCTCCAACCTCCTCCTCCTCCTCCTCCTCCTCCTCTCCTCCAACCTCTCCACACTCCTCCTCCTCCTCCTTCCTCCTCCTCCTCCTCCCATCCTCCTCCTCCTCCTCCTCCTCCTCCTCCTCCTCCTCCTCCTCCTCCTCATGGTGCGGTGCGCAGTTGTTCGGCCCTGAGGGCCAACAGGCTGTGCACCGTACCGCTCCCGGGCCGAGGGTCGGCGACGCCTCGGGAGAGGCCAACGCGGCACGGTGGAGGAGGAGGAGGAGGAGGAGCAGCAGAAGGAGGAGGAGGAGCAGAAGGAGGAGGAGGAGGAGAAGGAGGAGGAGGAGGAAGAGGGGGGGAGGAGAAGGAGGAGGAGGAGGACGACGACGAGGAGGAACAGGGGCAGGAGGAGGAGGAGGAGGATAACGGAGGCCAGGAAGCTGTCCGCGGAGAAGAAGGAAGAAGGAAAACCCAGACTCAGACTTGAGCCAAAGTCGATGGCTCCCCCCCGAAGGGAGAGGGAAAGGGGAACCAGAAGCAAGACCAAGGCCGTGGCCACAACGAAAACCAGACCCGAGAGGCCGCCCGAAACAAGAGGGATCTCATCTTGTATGGTTCGCGATGCAGCGCCCGTGGCCGGCCGCGCCCCCCCTCCCCCCCTGGTAATTTCACGACTCGCGCTGGCGCCGTCTGGGAATGACTGGGATTCGGATTCCCAAGCAATCCGAGGCATTTCCAAGCGGCGCTGTCCTCACCAGCCCCCTCGCCCCCCTCCCCAACAGCGCCCGGTATCGCCGGGGGGTTAAAAGTGGCTCCAAGAAGGAAAACCTGAACCAGAACTGAAACCAAAACCGAAACTTCACTGTGACGTGGAAACCTTCTCCAGGACGGAAGAAAAAGGAAGCCCGAATCAGAATCGGGACCAAAACCAAAACTGTGAGCTCGATGGCCATTTCCCAGGCCAAAACAAAAAGAAAACGGAACCAGAACCAAAACTGGAACCACGACCTGCGAAGTCTTCTTCAAGGCTTGAAGAAGAAAACCTGGATCTGAACCGGAACCAGAACCAGGACTTGGGGGTCTTCTGCGAGGCCGAAAGAAGAAGCAAATCCGGACCAGAAACAAAAGCGGAATCGTGACCTGTGGGTCTCCTTCCAAAGAAAAACAAAAAAAACAAAAAAACTGAAACCGGAGCCAAAACCGTGACCTGTGGGCCCCTGCCAGGACGAAAGAGACTGGAACGGAAACCAGAACCAGAACCGGAAATGTGGGGGCGCGAGGCTCTCGTCGAGGCTGGAAGGAGAAGGAGACCCAAACCAGAACCAGAACCGAGACTGAAACCACAACCTGGCGGGTCTTCTGCCCAAATCACTCCTGAGGAGTCTGTACAAGGCCCAGACCAAAAATTCTCAAGTCTCTCGGGACTTGTCGCGGTTCCCTTGGCGTTTCCCGCGTGCCTCCTGGGCTCCGAGAAATCTTGTCGCATGACTTCTTCGAGCCCAAGGGGGCCCCAAGACAGGCCAAGAAGGCCCCAAGAGGACCCCAAGACGGTCCAAGAGGGCCTCGAGTCGCCGAACGATCGATCCAAGACGCCCAAGGCGGCCTCAAAATGGCCCCAGAAGCCTCCAGTTCGCCTCAAGAAGCTTCCAAGAGAGGCCTCCTCAGAGGGCCTCAAAAGATCAAGAAAACGATGACTTTCCTCAGATATTGAAAAGAATTGTATCGTTTTCGCCTTTTCTGTTCTCTGGCGACGGCCCAAGAGGCCCGCCCCCAAGGCCAAAGAGGCCTCCAAGAGGGTTCCAAAACGGCCAAAGAGCGCCCCAAGCTGGCCCAACAGGCGCCCAAGACGGCCCAAGAGAGCCCCAAGACGGCCTCAAAGGGAGCCCAACAAGAGGGAACACGAACCTAAAATCCGAGCCTGTCGCCCCAACAGGTTCTCAGGAGGCCCCAAGAGGCGCCCAAGAGGCCAGATGCCCAAAAGAGCCCCCAAGAAGCCCCAAAACGGTCCCCAAGAGGCCTCAAAACTGCCTCCAAGAGGCCCCCGAAAGGCCTCCCACGAGATACCGACGAACATCCAATAAGCTTCATACCCACAGCCGGGGCACAGTGGCGGAGTGGGCCAAAGGCCATCAGATCCGCCGCCCCCTGCTGATTCATCACAGGGGTGCCCGGCGTGCTAGATCCTCTCGGTTTTGGTTTTGGCTCTCTTCCATTATTCACTGCGTGGAGCTCCCCATATGTGCATCTACTCGCATGGACCTGTCCGCCGTGAATGTCTAGGCGCAAGAGCTTTCGAATATTAACGGGCTTCAGTTGTGACGGTCTGGACATCAATCTAACTGCGAATGAATTGGAGTGTGAATGAGCCTCAGTAGTACGAGCGCGTCTCTGTGCATGAGCCTGGGGCCTCCTGGGGCCTCCTGAAACCTACTGGGGCTTCCTGGGTCTCCAGGAGCCTCTTGGGACCTCCTGGGACCTCCTAGGAAGGTTTCGTGCCCCAGGAGAGGCGCAATCTATAGCAACAGACGTACATAAAACATTGCGGATTAGAGCCACAGGAGAAGGGCAATCTATAGGAACACGCGTAAAACACCAAGGACTCGTGCCCCAGGAGAGGCCCAATACATAGGAACATGAGTAAAACATTTAGGATTGTGTACACAGGAGAAGGACCATCTATAGAAACATACGTAGAACATCAAAGAATCGTGCTCCAGGTGAGGCCCAATCGATAGGAGCATACGTAAAACACATGGGATTGGAGCCACTCCTGTTGCCTTCTGAGGCCTCCTGCTCCTGGGGCCTCTCGGGGCCTCCTGTTGCCTTCCGAGCCTCCTGGCGCTTCCTGTTGCCTCCTGGGGCCTCCTGTGGTTTCCTGAGGCCTTCTGGAGCTTCCTGGGGCCTCCTGGAGCCTCTTGGGACATCCTGTGGCCTCTTGAGTCTTTCTGTGGCCTCCTGATGCCTCCTGGGACCTCATGTGGTCTCCTGGGGCCTCCTGGAGCCTGTTGGAGCCTCCTGTGGCATCCTGAGAAGAATCTGCGCCCACGAGCCTGGCCACCAAAACAAGCAAACCGATCGAGACATCCTCAAAATCTGGCCCACCTGGGGGGTGAAAATGAGCGCCTCGCTCGAGACATCCTCCAAATCTGCTCCGAAAGCGAAGGATGTTGGGCCCAGAAACAAGCAAACCGCCTGAGACATCCCCACAAAATGGCCGCGAACGAGCCCGTGCAAACACCCCTGGCGGCTCCCCTTAGGGGTGCTGAAATGAGCGCCTCGCTCGAGACATTCTCCAAATCTGCTCCGAAAGCGAAGGATGTTGGGCCCAGAAATTACTCACTGCGTGGAGCTCCCCATATGTGCATCTACTCGCATGGACCTGTCCGCCGTGAATGTCTAGGCGCAAGAGCTTTCGAATATTAACGGGCTTCAGTTGTGACGGTCTGGACATCAATCTAACTGCGAATGAATTGGAGTGTGAATGAGCCTCAGTAGTACGAGCGCGTCTATGTGCATGAGCCTGGGGCCTCCTGGGGCCTCCTGAAACCTACTGGGGCTTCCGGGGGTCTCCAGGAGCCTCTTGGGACCTCCTGGGACCTCCTAGGAAGGTTTCGTGCCCCAGGAGAGGCGCAATCTATAGCAACAGACGTACATAAAACAGTGCGGATTAGAGCCACAGGAGAAGGGCAATCTATAGGAACACGCGTAAAACACCAAGGACTCGTGCCCCAGCAGAGGCCCAATATATAGGAACATGAGTAAAACATTTAGGATTGTGTACACAGGAGAAGGACCATCTATAGAAACATACGTAGAACATCAAAGAATCGTGCTCCAGGTGAGGCCCAATCGATAGAAGCATACGTAACACACATGGGATTGGAGCCACTCCTGTTGCCTTCTGAGGCCTCCTGCTCCTGGGGCCTCTCGGGGCCTCCTGTTGCCTTCCGAGGCCTCCTGGCGCTTCCTGTTGCCTCCTGGGGCCTCCTGTGGTTTCCCGAGGCCTTCTGGAGCTTCCTGGGGTTTCCTGGAGCCTCTTGGGACATCCTGTGGCCTCTTGAGTCTTTCTGTGGCCTCCTGATGCCTCCTGGGACCTCATGTGGTCTCCTGGGGCCTCCTGGAGCCTGTTGGGGCCTCCTGTGGCATCCTGGGAAGAATCTGCGCCCACGAGCCTGGCCACCAAAACAAGCAAACCGATTGAGACATTCTCAAAATCTGGCACACCTGGGGGTGAAAATGAGCGTCTCGCTTGAGACATCCTCCAAATCTGCTCCGAAAGCGAAGGATGTTGGGCCCAGAAACAAGCAAACCGCCTGAGGCATCCCCACAAAATGGCCGCGAACGAGCCCGTGCAAACACCCCTGGCGGCTCCCCTTAGGGG